CTACTAATTATTAAATAATATAACTGCTATAATAATAATAATAATAATAATAATAATAATAATAATAATAATAATAATAATAATAATAATAATAATAATAATAATAATAATAATTAGTTTGCACCACTTTGTCTGTTGTTCATTTCGGACGTTCTGCCGAGGGAGGGCTTCGTTATTTTAGTTTGCCATTAGGTTGTTAGTTTTGCTTTTAGTTTGCCCGTTTAATTTTGTGTTTTTAGTTTTGGTCGTTGGCCTCTGTGTTGCCCGAGTAGTGAGTGAGTATTACCCTGTTAGGGTCGCTTTCTCTCATTCTCCTCTTGGTAGCTTTTAGTGTCTGTAATCGATTGTGTTTTTTTTTTTTTTTTTGATTTTTAGAGTATTGCCCTGTTGCGGTCGTTCTAGACGGTCTTTTGACATGTCCTCCCAATCTATTACTAATATACATTTAAATGGACGGAAAAATTAAATACTTTTACTAAAATACATTTAAATGGACGGAAAAATAAGCTAAAATACTTTTACTAATATACATTTAAATGGACGGAAAAATTAAGACCAGTTGAATCCACCTGCCTTTGGGCTCCGTCACTGATAGGGATATATTGTACTAGTGTAAATGGGATGTAGGGCACGAGCGGGGACGACGGGACCAAGAGACTCGACTACTATAAAATTGTTACCCGGTTTAATTTATTTTATAGCCGTCGAGCCTCTTGGTCCCGTCATCGTGCCCTACTACAAAATCTTGGTTTTGGTAGATATTTCCGAACTAATCAAACTCGATGCTTCCGGGAAGTATATGTTCCGTTGACTTCAGCAAGACTTTGAAACAAATAGTATGTTATTGGTCAAAAGGAAAGCGCAGCTACATTATAATCACAAGCTTAATAAATGAATGTCTGCTTTTGCGTTTGTGTATTATTCATGATCGTATTCTGTTCTTGATCACTTGGGATTCATCAGAACAAAAATGGCAGCCTTGGCGAACAGCAACCCGTTCCACTACATCATTAACGGTAACATGTTCGATGAAAGTCCCCAATGAACTTAAAATCCATTTTTATTACCACAAATCAAAATCCATCAATTGATCTTGGATGATGTTAGTCTTTTTTTTCCACTCACAGTTGAGGACAGTGCCCAGAGCTGGGCCTTGCCACTGTACAGAGCCTTGAACGACGGAGATTACGAGACTGTTGAAATGATCATAAGGCAAGAACCTACAGCAATCACGTCAAGGCTGACCCCATTTGCTGAGACTCCACTGCTTGTGGCCGTGAAGGCCAGACAGGGGCTGCCCTTCTTAAGGAAACTGCTCGGTTTCATGCCGCCCGAGGCTTTGGCCCTCACCGACTACTTTGGCAATACTGCCCTCCATGCCGTGGCTGTGCTGGGAGACACTCGGGCCGCTGCTTTGTTTGTGGAAAAAAATAGGGACCTCCCAAATGTGTGGAATGTGGATGGCTGTTTGCCGATACACTTGGCGGCCATGAGGGGCCACCGAGAGATAGCTCTATATTTGTGCAGTGTCGCTAAAGAAAATGACTATTTGGACCTGTTCAAAGGCTCTGCAGGCGCCCAGCTCGTCCAGTCTGCTGTCACCGCTGGATTATATGGTGAGCGAATAAAATTTTTAAGACAAACAAAGTCACTAACGTAGGAAATAACATTAAACCATCCATGAAATATGTCATCCTCTTTTCTCTGTCCCAGTTGATAGTTGACGGAACAGTGTAAGTTGGCATCAATATCTTGTAATTACTCCCTTCTAATTTTTCAAAAAAATTTTGCTTATTTTTTTTCTTCTCTCTCCTTTTAATCATCAAACGCTCGAGGGTAGTTATCGTAATCATCCACGAATTCTTCTTGTTTATTTGAACTCTGTAAGATTTTGTGATTATTGACGGGCTGATTGAAATTAAAATCTAGATATGGCCTTATCCAGAGCTTATAGCTTAGTTAGACACAAGTATTAATCACAAAGACGGATCAATTTACTTTCAGAAACTCAATATCCTTGATATTACAAGGACAAGCTATAGGATTAGTAGTTGTAAATGTCCCAAATGTAATATTGCAACTCCGTAAGATATTCATTAATCGTTGAACTATTAGATTTTGCAATGTATCTGGTGGAACACAATCCAGAGTTGGCATTGCAGCACGAGGACATCTCTCCCCTGGAGCTGCTGGCTCAGGAGCCTTCTGCTTTCCCGAGTGGAATGGACTTCAATATTTGCCAGTTGATCATCTATTCCTGTGAGTTTCATGGCTTTGCTTTTGAAACTCGTATACTTGTTCTACTGTATTGGACGAATGTTGTAATTTTATTCATTAGACTATCTACAAGGCATACTGTATTGGACGAATGTTGTAATTTTATTCATTACTGTTACCACTAGATTTCTTCTATTCCGCATTACTGTTACCACTAGCCACTCGTGTTTGAAATTTAGGTGTTCCAAGGAAGCTTATTGAGATGCCCGGGAGTTTAGCAAGCATGACGAAGTCACGAGATTATCGTCCTTTCAGGTTGCATCGTCACTGCAGTAATCGGTTTTTAAGAGGAAAGTGTTTCCTTCATGGATTTGGATTTTTTCTTTATGAATACCGTTTACTTCTATCCTTCAAAGTTTCCAAACTTCTGTTTTATTTTATTTTATCTTCTTATTATTGATTCTAGTGTTAGGATACCTTGTGCCAGATTAAGGGGTTTCAAGTATTATAATTTTGGTGAGTTAGATATAGAGATTGTATAATCGCCTATCCGTGCTATCATGTGGACACTTTTAACAGTTTGATATCAAATTCATATAACCTTCTCAATCTTGCATCATATGTATTTGCAGCTCTACAGGAACCATATGTGATACTATGGAAGGTGCTTGAAACATTAAGTAAGAAATACGCAAATCAACCATTCTCATCTAGTAAACTACTATACTCAAAACAGTTGTAATTCTTTGCAATGGCTTACAGTCGTGCCTATAAAGCGCATTCGTCACACTAAAGCCATGCACCATCAAGCACTCAAGATTGTAAGACGTGCGTGCTCGGAAATCAAATGCTTGGACAACTCAAAAGCTTCATCAATACTCACGAGTCCCTTTCTTATAGGCGTGCAAAACGGCATCCATGAGATTGTTAAAGAGATTCTGGACTCATTTCCTCACGCAATAACCTTTGCGGATGAGGAGAACCACTCCATATTTCATCTGGCAGTTATGTACCGTCATGAGAAGATATTTAAGATTGTCCACGCGCAAAGTGGACAGTACAAGATGTGTTTGTCACTGCTTTTGGACAACGCGAGGAACAATATTCTGCATCTTGTGGCACATAAACCCCATCAAGATCGACTTGACACGAGCACGGGGTCGTTTCTTAAGATGCAGCGTGAACTCCAATGGTACAAGGTAAACATCAGTATTCACAGGCCATTTGGTTTGATATGAGCTTATAAAATTAGGAAAATGAGTTAAAATGCTCAAGAATTAGTTTTATGATATCTATGAAAATTGCAGAGAGAAATGAAAATGGAGAGAATTGCAAATTTGATCCCACTTGTTTTGGCGAATACCACAAGTGGAACTAAAAAATCTATTTTCGGTCCTTTTAATTTTTTTTGTTGCTAAAATAGTCCCAGTAGTTAGGTTGACCGTTAGTCAATGTCCACAGCTAAAAAGGGAGGGATCAAATATTCGGGACCAATTTGCATTTTTCAAACGAGTGGAACTAAATTTGCAATTTTCTAAAAAAAGGAAAAAAGAAAAATGAGTTCTTCAAGTTTGTCTAGAAAATAAGTCGGATTATATTGATGTTTAATTCAAAAGTGAAAAAATTTACTTTTTGTTTAAATAATTTGACTTAAAAGGAATAAAAATCTATCTGATACCCAGCCAAGGAAAAAAAACGTGAATTCTTAGAAAAATATTTAAGATTATATTTTTAATTGCTTAAGTCAAACAAATGTGAATATTTAAAAATGGTTTGGAAAAGTACGACTTCATTGTTTTAAAAATCAGAAATGTAAAATATCTTTTCCTTTATCAACGAATAAGTTGAATAAGGCAGTTTTGCCTATGTGCATCAAAAGGGTTCTAAAAGTTATAAGTGTTCTTACAGATTTAATCCGTTATATATATTCCAAACAAGGAGGTGGAAAAATTCGTACTACCCCACGCTCGAAAGTCTAAGAATGCCGATGGCAAGACGCCACTGGCGATATTCAACGAGCAACACCGTGAGCTGGCAGCAAGCGAGACACAATGGATGATGAGCATGGCGACCTCATGCACGGTGGCCGCATCCCTTATCGCCACTGTCGCATTTGCCGCCGCCATCACTGTGCCCGGCGGCAATGATGTCGGCGGCCTCCCAATCTTCACCGGCGAAAACGCTTTTGTTCTTTTCGCGGTCTCGGACGCCCTCGCCTTACTGTCGTCTGTCACAACTGTCCTTTCCTTCTTGTCTATATTCACCTCGCGCTACACGGTCAACGATTTCCTTTATGAGTTGCCTAATCGGTTAATAGTTGGCCTCATCTCCCTCTTCCTGTCCGTGTTGTCCCTTATGATGGCCTTTGGCTCAACCATGTACCTCGTGGCAGCTCGGAAGAATAGCCTTCTCCTGTTGCCTATAGTGGCGCTGGCTTGTGTCCCCGTCACTCTATTCGCCTTTCTACAGCTTCCTCCGCTTCTTAATATGATCAGCTCGACGTATGGTCCGAGCATCTTTGATTAGCTTTCAATGTTGCTATTGATTTGTTTGGAGTTAGAATGGTTTCATGATGTATTTCAGGATTAAACATGTGTACTTGATACATTGAGTCATTAGTTGTTTAGTCAAATTAAGTGACCAATCTACTGTAAAGATACATTGTCTAAGGAACTTAATTTAAATTGTGAAATAATTAAATGTGGACACCCGATAATATTACTATTTGAGGACGTAACAAATAATAATATTAAACTTAAGTAACCTAATTAGAAAATATCTTGGATCAAAATTAATAATGGCTGGAGCCCAAAAACCTTGATAAATAAAACGACCCTAAGAATTTTTGAGAAGAGACAAAAAAAAAAAAAAGTCATGCTAGTGCTCTTTTCATCAGTTATCCTTCATTACGTCAGAAGAGGAAATAATTGACATGAATCCATCAGGTACGCCTCCACTATTCGATTATGATTATCACTCAAACGATATGAATGCTCTTGGAATAAAGCGATATTGGAGTTTCTTCATATTGAATATTTGAGAATCAATTTTATTTTTTTTAGATTCTTTTGTGTAATCGGTACTATATTCATATTGGGGTTATGCTTGAGTTATCTTATATTAGTTTGGCTATTGAATATAGTCTAATTCTTCTAAATTGAGTTGTTGGGTTGAATTCATATTTTTGTCTGCTGTAATTGTGCAATAACTGTATAGATTGTTTGATTGATTCAGTTTCTTGAACCATGTTGGTTAATTGCTTATTGATTTATGTTTATATGAAACTGTGAACCCAATAATTCAAATAAATTTCCTGCCACGCCTTGGGATCAGGATTGATAAGTCTCATTGCATGTATTAGTTAATTGTTAGTTAATTATGATGGATTCATGTTATATTTCATTGTTATTATATTATTTGGTAACATATTGGTGAATTCTATGTTTTTTTTTTTTTTTTTGGTTGCAGAACGATAGAAAAATCTCATAAAACACGAAATAAAACAACGTTTACACCTGAAGAGCTAACTAGCTCTTAATCACCTAACAATAACAAGAGAACCATATACAAATGCAGCCTAGGAACACCCAAACAAAGAAGAGCGAACAACCTAAACTAAGAGTTAAAAAGCAAACACATCCATTTGACTCCTTTTAACTCCTACACACACATCACAAACTACTAACAAAAAATAAAACACAAAAGAAGTCTAAAGATCACCAAGCATAAGGTCGACTAACAAAAGGACCTAGGCCATAATCTCACCAATCTTTAAACCCTCTCAATCCCAAAGTTGTTGTAAGAATACTCTGACCAATCGGCCAAAGTAATCCTCACAACCTCTGTTTCACTCTTCCGTTATTTTCTTAAACAACCAAAGTTTTTTTTGTCTCCCGAATCCACCATAGCAAATTAGACGGACAACTAAATTCTCTCATCAGCAACCTCAGATTTCTCCATGGAAGACAATCACCACCACCAGTCTCTAATACTCTGAACTTCTTCAGTGAATCACCCCAGTCAAGTGGTGCTAGTCTCCACACTAGTTTAGCCCTGTAACATTGAAAAAATATGTGCTCTTTGGTCTCAGGTGCTTCACCACAACAATGACAAATTTGATCCACTTTAAGGCCCCTCTTCTGAAGATTTACACTTGTTCATGTGTGATTTTACACAATATTTATATAGTATCTAAAGCTTATTCATTTCATTATTGGTGTATAATTTGCATTATTGTACTTTTATTCTATTCTTGTTGGAAAAGTTTTACACGTGCTTGTTTTGTAGATATTCTCACATATTTGTAGAGCATTTGGCTATTAGAGGCGCATGGTGAGTACCTAAGGCCCCCGAGCACCATGCCCGTGTCAGAGGCCGTGTCACATTAAAAAAGAGATTTCGATGCCCAGGGACCTGACACGGGCTGCGACACGGACGGTGACATGGGCAGAGTGGCCGTGTCGCGCGCGCAGGCTGTATTTTATATCTTCTCTATTTTGCAAAGAAGAAGGGTTTTGGACAATATAAAAGGATTTACTCTATTTTGAGAGGGGGGAACGTGAGACACAAAGGAGAGGAGCCCTAGAACACACAAGAAAGCAATTGGGAGGCAAAAAAAATATCAACTACAAAGAGATCAAGAAGATAGAAAGATC